GCGCTCCTGACTGTACACATCAAGCCTGCTGCGATTTTGCGACTTTCCAGGGGGAAAAAAGACGCGTCCCGGGTGGAAGCAAGAAGACTGACACAACATCAGACTAACTGTTTTTCAGTTCTGATTAGACTCTAGTGTTGAGATGTCTGTCTGTCATGATAGCATGTTCTGAGTCGGGGCCAGTACCAGATAAGCACATTAAACTATAATCCATAAACGTAAGGTAACAACAGAGACCTAATGGTGCTGTGACAGCAACACGATTGAGTTTGAAAGTGAAAATACATATGGTATGTTGTATCTGAACAGGTTAGCTTACGCGCTAAAGTTACTTAGCACAGATGAAAGTTAAAACAAAGACGTTTAGCAAACTCTTCAAGCAAACAAACCATCGTCATTTGAGAAATCCGACGCTATGACTCTCTACAAGTTGTCCTTCAGGTCGTAATCTTTGTAATGTTTGTGTCTTTTATCAAAAAGCACTCTGTTCTCCAACACATAAACAATCAGCTGGTCGGCCATGTTGGATATACCAGTGAATCTGATGTTGCAACAACACGCAGTCTGATTGGTCAGAAGTAGATACACAGTATGCGAAACTGAAAAAAAGAAAAATTGACCGTGATATGGAAAAAATAAATGCTGCAATATCGCAGGATGGGAAAAGGTCGCTGATGTGGATGCTTGTATTAACAGGTTACGGGTTCGGAAAAAGATATGACGTACAAAATTATCGCACGAAAAAAACGGTCCTGGTGTGAAAGGACCTTTAGACTAAATTAGTGATGTGTTGGTCATGAACGAACCGGTTCAAAGAGCCGACTCTTTCACGTGAACGATGGGCTCCTGTCTGAGCTGTTTTTTTTGTTTTTTTTTAATCTTTCCTTTTTTTCTCTCTTTTCCCTCCACAGGCTGTAGAAAAAAAAAAAAACAACTACAAGGCAGAATGACGGGATGATGGGGCTCCATGCATGCAGTGCATGACTGTCACGTGCAAGCTGTGTGCAGCCAATCACACAAGAATACACTAAGCAGAGGGGGTACCATGTGCTTGTGCTCTTTAGACGGATGCGCCCAGGAGAAAAAGAAGTGTAAATGCAATGAAAAAAACTGGCTACAGTAATTTACTGATATTAGAAAATGTAATTTTTACTTGTGAATACTTAAGTACAAAGGATTTGTTGAATTATTTAAGAGTTATGTGTACACATATGTGCATATTATCAGCCAAACTATGCTAAATTTGGCTGAATTAGAAAATGTTTAAGAGGTAAAATGAAGAGCTGTTTAGGAGCCGAAAGAGCCGGCTCTTCTTGGTGGGCTGAGCTGAAAGATCTGACTCACTAAAAAGAGCCGCAATTTCCATCGCTTGACGAAATATCTATACGATTCCTAAGTGGTTGAGGGTGACGGTTTAAAGTTTAGTAGTCTCTACTGACAGTATTCTAGTACAGCTACAAAAAGAGAACCATGGTCTGAGTTTAAACTTTAAAAACGGAACTATGACTGTGAGCTAGTTTATTTGCGCAACAGTGTCTGCAGACACTCGGGAGGCCTGTTTAGTCGACTTGATAACTTTAAAACAAAGGTAGCATGGAGCTGAAGGACGCATGGCAGTACAATGAAAGCAGCACTTTCAGTACGACCCCGAATTTGCACACTCATCTTCTCCAGCCTTGACAACACTAACATCTCATTGCAGTGTGAACTAAAAGCACTCTCTCACTCTCTAAATGCACTCAGCGCTCCGACGGTCTGGGCTGCCCTTAGAGACCCGTCTCTTCGGCTTCATCTGCGACGTGGCTCTCGTTCTCCGCAGAGCTGCTCTTCTGTCGCCACGCTCATCCTCTCTGACTCTAACCCGCTCGCTCTTCTGCTCGCTCACTCGTGCATGTGCAGAAACTGCAATCGAGCCTCGTCTCTGTTAGCAGCTGCTGGGCACAGGAGGACAAGAGCAGAGTACAGACAGTCCCTGTGGGCGACGCGGTGGAACAGCGGGTGCAGACGAGCAGACAAGACAGCGTGTACAAGAGTCACTTTCAATCAGTGAGTCCTAAACTGCAGGCGGGGTCCAAAAATGGGTCAGTGGTCTATTTTTGGACCAGAAGTATGTTTCCGTAAGTCCCAAGGCGTGTGGGATCTAATTTATTTCTTGAATCTTTAAGCCCAGGGCCAAAGTGAAAGCTTAATGTCTAATAAGGATCTCATTTAGGCCTGAGGCTGAAAGCTTTAAGAAGGCCTTATCTCTTTAAAATCCCTATTGAGTTTGAATATCAAAGCCTCCTACAGGGCCATGATATAGATTTCTCTGAACTCAGAGCGCCACTTTCCTTTACGCTGCACTTCCTGCCGTCTTCTGTGGGTTCACCTCCTACACGCAGAGGTGTCCTGATGCCTTTCATCATCGGACGGAACTTTACAAAAGTGCAGGGTCATCAGAGCTGCAGTGAGAGGGCCAATAACTCTGACGCTATTTTGGTTGCGAGGCACCTTCATCATAATGGACGCCGTTCTGCTGGGAGCCGTGTGAAGTGGAGGAGGCCCTGCAGTGATAGCAATCCTCCAACTCCTTAACACACAGACTTCTGATCAGCACTAATGAGTCTGTGCCCACGATATCAGAAATAACGCTGAAAGTGAAGCTGAGGTCATCAACGCCGCCGTGTTGTCTCGCTTTTGATTAGTATTCGCTGCTTCTGCTCCTCTTCCTCATCCCTCTCTCTGTTGATCTGTTTTTTTTTTCTCTTTCCATGCGAGCAGATAAGATATGAAAGACACTCACTCACTCACTTCTTTTTTTATCTTTTTCTTATTTTTCCTGCAAAACAAGCCATCTTAGCGGAGACAGGATGGGTATGTTCAGAGTCTCTCTGCGTACGATGATCTGCAGAATTTAAAATATATCAAAACGGAAATCCCAGCAGATTTACATCAACTAAAAAGAGAACCATTTGTGACCACTTTTCATCAAATCACTCTTATTCATACATGACTCAGGTGGAAATCCCAGACTGTTGTAATGTGGTTTGCATTAACCTTAAATTACTGAGTCTGTGCCATAGACTGTATATAAGATGGACGCCGTGGTTCCGCCTTCCGCCTGTATACGGATTTGAAGCCAAAAAGCTCTCGGTAATTCCGGGTTCCTTGCAACCAGAGCTGCGCAGTAGCGTTGTACGCAGACGTTTTTGGCTGGACGGGAGACTCGGCGCGATGACGTTCCGCTCAAAAAGTGCCCCCCCCGGATGTCCTTCCAGCCTTACATCGGTATCGCTAATAGCTTCCCCGCTCGTCGCGACCAAGAATAAGTAAGTTCCACTTCTCCTGATATAATGTGAAATTTGTGAGCGTACTAACTTCTAAGAACATAAAATACCATCATAACTAATACGAATAAAGATATCATCTATTACTTGATTGGAAGTAAGTCATCTCTCTTTGTTGAAAGAAACGGTGTAAATGTAAGCTAAAGTAGCATTGCAATTTAACACTAGCCTTGGTAAATTAAACAGCAAAATACGTGATATTTTTAGTTTATCAGTTGTTAAGATATATGCTATTGTACTGTGATTAAAAATGAACAAAATTCTGAATGAACAGCAAATATTTATGTTGTTCTGCTTTTTTTAGACAAAGAGAAAAGAAGCTTCAAAGATGAGCACAACATAAGCCACTGTGACCAGAAGTAAGGATAAAAATTCATTGAGATGGATGCTGATTTAGTTGGATATGATTTTAGTCAGACTTTTATTAGGTAATGTTATAAATATTTTTTTTTGTGATGTAACAAGAGCAAGCTCAAGTTTTCAATTCCAAATTATATCTACTGTAAAAAATATTAAACAGCTTGTGATTCAGCATGATGTGGAATCATGCTGAATCACAAGCCATGCAAGGTTTTGTAGGAAAATGACTTTTTTTTTCTTTTATTGTTCAATACATTTACAGAAATTAAACAGCAGGACCTCCAGGATCTCCATCGGCAGTTCCCCACCGTGAGGATCATCTTCTCTGCCATCACTCAGAGGAGCCGATGGAGATACAGCCCCAAGAAAATGGACAAAGCCAGGCGCTATGTGAACAGTGTGATGGCTACTTTTGTTTCATCTGTTGGCGGAAGCATTGTGCATCATCCTCAAATAAAGCACAGAGATCCTGGCCTTTTTTTAAACGATGGAGTTCATTTCACCACTTTGGGTAATGACATTTTTTTAAATAATAGTGCCTTGTGTTTGAAAGACCAAATCTAGTAGGGTGGTGCTAGATTTGGGATTTCACCTACAATAGGCAGCAAAAAATGGTCAGGATTTATCTGCTTTATTTGTGATTGATGTGCACATTTTGTTTAATTGTTTACTCGAGCACAATTTTGTGAAGTTTGTTTTACAAAGGTAACCATCACACTGTTCAATTCTGTCACAGCTCTTCTTCCTCCTCTCTCTCTCTCTCCTACAAACTTTCTGCCGTACCCCAGCCATTCCACCCGATGGTCTTCCTCAAGGCGTTTTCCCCACGACGAATGTAGCTGGGGATGTTTTTGATTGTTAGAAAAATTAAATTAATGTTGAAACTTCACATGCTTTTCTGTGATTTGTTGTACCATGATAAAGTTTTCTGATTTACAGCACAGATGAAAAAACACAGTATATGCTTTATTATTCCAGAGTATTTGTCTCAAAATTTTATTTTTCATGTAAAGCTATCAAAAGAAAAAAACATACCACAACAAAGTCAATGCATTTCTTATGTACTCATCATCAAGTGATTAACAAGAAAAGAGCTTAACATCAGTCCTAGTATTCTTGCTTCTGGTGTAATGGTCAAATAAGACAATTCAAAAAGGCTGTAAAAGACTCACACACAGAAAGATGGAAAAGACAAATGTCAAAAAAAGTTGGATCCATTTTATTCCTAGCAATAAAAGGGATCCAACTTTTCAAGACATTTGTCTTTTCCATCTTTCTGTGTGCGAGTCCTCACCATGAAGTGAACAAAGTGTGGTAAAACTGAAAAAACAAACTGACAATATGTGTAGTGAACAGCATGTAATTAATGTAAATCAGATAGCATGACATGGACACTTGTGAGAGGACACTAGCATTTTAGTATTTATTTGTGATTTATAAATACTTAACTCGTTTGCAGAAAACCTGTATGTTTGTTATTTTACCAGGAACTTAAAAAGATATAATCTAGTACTTTGGGAGTTGCATTGGGTGGAAAGGAAACAGGCTGCAGCAGATGAATCCACCATATCATCAGTGGTTGGTGATGAAGTCTGAAAAACAAAGAAATTCATCAATTAAATTGTGAATACCAGTACTTAAATTCATTAAGACACTTAATGTCTCAAACCAGGTGGTAGCTCAGCATGAAAACTTTAGAGGTTTTGATATACTTGTCCAATTATTTAAAAGGTTTCATTTAGTTAGCATTCTTAGAGACTACTACTTGGCTAGTGCTGTTACCTTTATCTAACAGGGCACATTTGGTCTAAGCATAAGAAGTTGTTCATGTGGTATCACTCAAATTTTTTTTGCAACATGATTCCTGTTTACTCCAGGCTGCGCCAACTTAAACTGAAAATGACTGATGACACTAACTAATAATGACCAGTAGATGGTAGCAGACACTACAACTACATGCAAATACCTAATTTTAGAAAACATAAAAACAGCAGTAATTTAAAATGGATAGTTGTAGTGTTCAGCTGTTGGGAATGTTTAAATAACCGCCATTTTATGATTCAAAGTGTTAGTCAATTTAACAATAAATTGTTGCAAATGTGAACTTCATAAAAATTGCTGTCCATTAAAAAAGAAATAATTTAACCTTTGAGTCCACAGTAAAGGCATGCTCTTCAAAATGAGCACTGCAAAGACGTGATGATCCTGTTGGTTTCCAGTCCTGCTGTCTTGTGCTCACCAGCCACTGCTTCAGCCTCGCTTTGTCACCTAAAGGGAAACTTTACAAAAATACAATAACATTGCTTACTGCCATTTGTCAAGTTTGTAAACAACACAAAGTTAATGTTTTGCGTTCAGTTTAATTCTTGCTTTGTTGCATAACAGGCTAAAGCCAAAACTCAATTCAAAGACAATCACAAAAAATACCTCAAGTGAATGAATATTCAAACTGTATAAATAATCTAAATCATTTCATCTTGTGAGTGATATGTCTTATGAACATCCTATCAAAATTGAGGGATTTCTTTGCATGTAACCAAAATTTTAATGTCATTGTGATTGATTAAGTATGTCATATGCAGCTGTCTTTCCATAACTAATTACATTACTCATAGTTTTATCTCAATCTCATAGGTAACAGGGCTATCTATCTATCTATCTATCTATCTTGAAAACTTAAGTAAGACATGATCTACCATGCTGCTGTAAATGATAATTGTCATTCCACAGAAGTATACTTATGACTTATGTATGTTATTTGATAACATAAAATAAATAACAGTTATGCAACTTGTATAAGTAATCTTTTGAGCATGTCCTTCTATACACTTATAGGGTCTCATTTTCTCGACGTTTTGTCCCATTAAAGACAGTTTCAGAGCTTTATCTTAGACAAATATCGTTATGTCAACAAAAGCTGTAATACTACTGCCGCTGTACGGAGGAGACTGAACCGGCGGTCAATCCTCTGCCAGAAAGCTAGGACGGTGCATCCGAAAGATGCATTTTAATTAAACCATACCTGATTTTAGCGCAGGCTGCTCTCGTTGTAACATACCCGAGTAAAACTGGTTGATCCATTACCAAAACTTCGACTCATAACATCATGACTCTCATTATATTCATTTACATGGCCTTGTTTTCATAAAGTGATGCAATATTAGGGGAATGACTTAAATGCGAATTAATTCCTTTAACATTATGACTTCATGCCTCGAGTTTTCATTTCATGCCCTGATACTCTGTGGTAGTATTTGGTTGCTAGTATGAATCTGTGGGATCGGTACGGTTTTTAATTCAAATTCAAAGTCACGTAGTCATAATATTGTTATAAAAAGAAGGCGGATTTTAAGGGGTTTCCTCATTGTTTAACTTCTAATAAAAACGCTTATTAGCGGCACAGAACTTACCGCTTGATATCTGTGAGTAAACCCCATTAGCTAAATTAAACCAGACCGTTTAATGTTATGTAGCTAGCAAGCTGATGACTTCATAAAAAAAACATAACTTACCGAAACAAGTGCAAAGTTCCTGATTTCACATGTCGGTTAACACAGTTTACTGCAGAACAACTCATTTTTCCAATGCAATAAAAGAGAAAAACGATGGAAAAATGTAATCCTCTTCTCCGCTGGCAAACCCGATCGGTCTTGACGATGGACAAAAAAGAGCGACGCACAAGCAGCAAGTGCAAAGTGTAGAGAATGACGCAATTTCCTGTTTTTATAACTCCTTATAACTTTTTAAAATGGAGCTGCAGAGAGAAAAAAAGACCTGAACACAAACCAGTCTAATAATAACTACATGTCAACATCGCAGTCGGGGGTGAGAAAAGTGTATTTTCTGTGAAATTAATTTCTAAAGGCCGTCCGCCGCTCCATTCACTTTGCTGGCAGAAGTGGGGTTTATGACTTGTACTGCAGCCACGCTCTAGGGGGTGCTGTTCTCGGAGTGGCTTCACCCGGCGAGGAGACAGACGGCGTCCATCTTATATACAGTCTATGGTCTGTGCTGAGCTAAAATAAAAAGGGATAGCTGCTAATCTCTCTATTAGCAAAATATGATGTTTTTATCCACACCATAATCCATAACCTTGCAAGAATATGACTTTTAAATGGATTTCTGCAGGACTGTGTGTTTAAGCATTGAAACACATGTATTTAACATGTATTTAATCATCTCTATGTATAAATTCATTGTCGATAAAGGCATGGGCATGCAGAATGAGCTAGCAAAGGAGAAGGCATAGATAAGAGTATGTGGTTGTCAATGCATCCAAATGCACAGATATCCTTGCATGAATGGAACTTCTTGATCTTTACGTATTCAAAAGGTGGGATATTTACACCTTTACCCATTCTATAATGTTTTGTGACCAAAGACATAATGTTGGGTTGAAGTCGTTTCTCTTTTGACCCACCCTTAGAAGAAGTAACAGAGGTGCAGTGGGGAAGGGTGGAAAAACTGTTGACAAGCTGTGCCTTGGTAATGACACTCTTGGACATCGGTGTTACACCTTTTTAGTGGTGCAATGTGTCAGTAGCATGTAAGAAACTTAACCCTAAAACATACAGGATCCGCACTGAGGTTTCTACTGTATGTACTGTAAAAAGCAACATGAATCTAGGTGTAGGTTTTTGCAGGTTCACTCGTGTTTAATAAAGTAAACTGTGTTCCTTTATGCTGTGCTGTTGCCTTCAGACAGAGTTAGCAGTTAAAAGTAGGGCCCGACCGATTTTTCAGTGAGCTGATTAAATCGACCAATCTCAGCCTGTTTGAGACTAATAGGTAATTGGCCAAAACTCACCGATTTTCGCCAGTATTTTCAGAAAATGTTCCGCCATTTGAAAAAGTTTCCTGACTTATCCTGTAGATGGCGCAGCGACCTCATGACAATCTTCATCCACTAACTACCTCACAGCACAGCAGAGTGACGGATCTGAAGCAGGAAGCTCAGGGACGCACGGAGGAGAGTGGTCCACCTCAACGGTAAATAAACCAGTTTGTGAAATACACAATAAGTCAACAAGTTTCAGTTCAACCCACTTCACGATGTTCCCCGCTGTGCTGGTCTCGGTCACGCCGAGTTAACGGTGAAGCACCATGTAGTATGCAAGCTAAAGTTAGAGTTAGCCACCTGCTATTAGCCTTGCTACACTGTTAGCCGTGCCAGTAACGGTAGAATAAACAACAGTACACATTAGTGATTGAGCTACTTCTCTTACTGAGGCAGCTGCATGTCTCCAGATGAGACCGGACCGGAAATAAGTAACGTGAGTGAAGACACGGAGGCACCGATTGGCGGCGGGGGTAGTTGAAAATGTTTTTCTGGTCAAAGTTTGATCAGTCAGTCTTCCTGTCGGCATGAAGAGCAGTAGTCTATAGTATGTCAACAGTATATAGTATACTGTAGATATCTACAGTGTGTATATACATTTTTTATAACTTCATAAAAAAAATTAAAAATTGGCAGATCAAAAGGTAATCAGATCCCCCCCCCCAATAATTGGGATCGGCATCGACCCCAAAAAATCCATATCGATTGGGCCCTAGCTAAAAGTCATGGATCAGGGATTGACCATCGGATTGTTCTTTGTTACTGATAAATCCAGAACCAGGAAGTATTTCTCATCTACACAAACTGATACACAGTCTGGAGTCCAGATATGGTGTTTTATTTTGAAATACCAGATGACGTGTGGTTTTCATGCTTGACCTCCTGTCTAGAACAATCTTCTCCGTGTAGATTGACGTATTGGAAGCGTAGAGCACCAAAAATAGACGCACCGCGAACCTTTAGCAGAGCTGCGCATGACACGCTTCTGAGACTGAGCAGAGACAGGTCTTGTGTGCGCTGCTGCATTGATTAGTATGGGAACCTATTTGCTGCGTGATACGTGACGCTTATGGAACTTGCTCAACACAGATCCCGTATGTTTTAGGCTTCAGATGTTGAATCATAACCTTCAACAGCTGAAAGAGGTCGTACCAGGGCGTGTCTAATTTGACTGGCAGCATCTCTGATCTGGTGCAGTCCTCATTCACCTTCAGAAACCAGTGGGTGGTATCACTGAGACTTCACTCATATTCTTACAGTCGTTGGATTTGTGTGGCCAAAATACACAAGTAAGGTCATCCCTTTGTTTGTCCATACCTGTCAGCCTATAAGTGGGCTTTTAAATCTCTTTATATTAATGTTTTCATGACCTTAACACACATTCAAATATCAAACAGAGGGCGGAGTCTGAAACTGGCTTCAGCGGGGTCCCAAAGCTCCTATTGTGATGTATTTGGCTTCAGACCAACCTGGAGTTTAATGAATTTGAGCCGGTGATATATATGAGTACAACCCAATGACATGCATGTGTTGCATTCACATTAGGGATCTTAAAATGCAGGACAGAGAGACATTAAACGCCTCGCTGAATTGCGGAGAGGACAAATAAAACAGCGACAAATTTTATCAGGGGTCAAAGGTTACCCACTCATGCACACATGCTTGTGAAGTTACTTTTATTTATGAAGTTCTTCAGCGCTGAGACACTTTAATGGACCGATCAATAAACCAAAGTCAACAAAGATTTTAACGTCTGATTTATTGATTAATAACAAACATTTAGCTTTATGGCTTTAGCTCCTGTCCACTGTGTGAGACAAATAACTCCATGTTTAGTATAAACACCATAAATAAAAATGGCAGCTGTCATCTTAATGCAGCGTTTTATTCCTCCACCGCATCCGTCCGTCCTGTTCTCTTATCTGCCATTCAATATTTTCATGATGATACAGGCGGTGCAATCAAACAGCATTTGTCGTAAGTGAGCGGGGCGTCTCATGGAGTACAAAGGCAGAGCAGATGAAATGAAATTGTTATTGAACCTCAGTGAGAGTAACAGAGGAGCCGCCGTGCTGAAGAGATGATTTGTAGGTGGCAGAAATGAGTCTGCAGGATTTAATCTGCTCATTATTTTGTTACAGAAGTCTCGATTTGTCTGCAGTGGCATAATAATCATGAAATAAACTCACAGAAATACAAAAACCATTATTTTCAGTCTGTTAATTTATCCTGAGAATAAAAGTGAAAATATGGTTTTATGAAGACATCCATGTTGGAGTCTGGTGTCCTTGAAATACCTCACTTTTTCTCTCTTTTTTTTTTCCACAGTGAATCTGCAAAAGCTACAAACTCTCTTTGCTGAGCACCAGTTTCATGCTCCATATTGGAGTTATGTTCAAATGCATTGTCTGGATCTTATGAATTACATTTAACTAACTCCACACAAGCATAAAACAAAGTGGAGACTTGGTCTCTTTTACTCTGTTTGAAGCACTTGAGTGTAAAGTGAATAATCTTCTTGCATGTACCAACTGCGCACTGCAGCACAGCTTTATCATGTTGCTTTGTGTTCTCAAAAGGTTGAATGTTAAATGCATGATTAAACTAACTCTAATCAGAAAAGGGCAGGGCTCGTATTCTGCTCCTCGTCCACAGGCAGAAGATTTCTCACGAGGCTAATACTGTGCAGCCAGACTGTGTCGAGCACAGATCTTAGGGGGGGCATTAAAGGTCCTCAGAGCACAGTGACTCCATTATTTGAAGTTAGGAACTACAACTAACCTATAGGCCAAAATGAAGCATAGCGTTAGTTCTGGCAGGTCACGACGTCAAGCGCTGATCTGTAGCCATTGAAAAGGTAGCCACCTCAACCAGTTGATGGCCCAGCTGATTTCCTCCTAGCTCCTATTGGTCTTATGCTTTTAGAGCGCCCTATTTAAAACTGCCCTAACCCAGCCTCTTCCTCTGCTTCGACAGGCAACCAGCAACCCACCTCCACCCTTGTGCCAGCTAAACTGCTCCACTTCTCTCAAAGCGTGCCTGTTCCGGGGGGCTCTGTTCTGCCTTCATGATGCCTCATGAAGGACGGGAAGGTGTCCTTCCTGCCGCAGGCCTTTCACGCATGCTTGTCTGAAGAACGGGGGCCCCGAACAGAACCTTGTGTGCGCTCCCTGCTTTTGCCTTTTCATGATGGCTCATGAAGGACAGGAAGGGGCTCTTCCTGCCTCTGGCTTCCACGCAAGCGCATGGAAGGGCAGGGACCCAGAACAGAACTATGCCGCCAAATTTAATTTTGCACAATAAAGCTGAATTTTGACAAGTGTTCCTGACTGAACTTAATGTTTGAGGAAGAAGGCCTTGACCATGAACCAGGTAGTCACTCTAACAAAACTCTTTGAGTCCTCTCTGAAGATGGGATAACCTTCCTAAAAGTCAGCCATATCTGCAGCACTCCACCAATAAGACCTAAACTAACCAAAAGGCACAAGACGGTCCACTTGGTCCCAAAAAGCAACTCTTTTGGTCTAAGGAAACCAAAAATGACCTCTTTGGACTAAAAACCAAGAATCATGTCTGAAGGAAACCAGGCACTGTTCATCTACTCACCAATGCCGCCACCACTGGGACCTCAGAACTGGGTAAAGGTCCACCATCCTACAGGACCAAAAACCTGGGCACACTAATGATAACAATGAAGAGGCTTCAGTGCAAATCTGAAGTCCACGTCTTAACTCATTTAAACTGGGACAGCATGTACGCATTTCAACCTTCCAAGCCAGGAGTGCGGCTGCGCATTTCTACTCGGAAAGCCGGGTGCATGTCCGCATTTCCGTAAGAAGCTTGTACGTCATTTCGTAACATTCTGTAGTTTTTCAATTACTTCTGGAGTCGTGGTGAATCAAATCATCATACTGCCTCTGATAGGCTAATAAAGCTTACAAAAGCAATCGGATTCATGCTCTGATCTTGCTACGTGCTATGTGAGGAAAGTAAACAGCCGCTTTATTTCATTTGAGTTTGTTTGTTCAAAGGTTTTCAATAATGTCTTGAAAACTCAATCAATCGATCGAAGTTTGGCCCAAATGTGGGGTGATTTTCTTTAGATAAACTGCAGGAAAAAAAGGGTGTTTTTTACACTAAGACATTGAAACATCAAACCAAGGATTAATAAACACGAGAATTAAACAGGGAGTTCCTGTATTTCTTGAGTCTGGGCTCTGATTTTTCCAGAATATCCTCCGCTGAGTCGACATGATATTGAGTGTCGATGCAGGACTGTGTGAGGGATGTTGACAGGCAGCTCGGCCTCATAACTCAGGTGAGCAGGTGTGCAGCCATCATCAATTCTTCATTATAACAAATAGAGGAACACTTGAAGAGGAGCAGCGCGGCACAATTATACATTACAGGGAAAATAGCTCCCAGTGGCTTTATGTAAGTGAAACACAGCTGACAGGGACCAGTGTGTGTGTGTGTGTGTTTGTGTTTATGTCTAAGTGTGTTTTTGAGTCTCTTCTGTTAAACACTCCAGTCTATTTTCTTCTCATTTCCTCGACCTCTTTTCTCTCTCCTATTTTCTTTTTAGGGCCCGAGCGTAGCTGCTAAGCAGCTGCGAGAGCCCTCTTGTTCCTGTAGTTTCCTTCTTTTTAGGGCCCGAGCCAGCTGCAGAGCAGCCGGGCGTAGAGCCCTATTATTCCCCAAGTGGTTTTTCTTTGTTTCTTTAGGGCCCGAGCGTAGCTGCTAAGCAGCTGCGAGAGCCCTCTTGTTCCTGCATGTTTCCTTCTTTTGTTATTATTATTATTTTTCCTCCCCTTTAAACTGGAAAATGGCCCACTTCCCACTGGCGAAAACTCATGAAATTTGGCAGGACGACCAGGCCTGGTGAAAAATTTGATATTCTGAAGTCGCCCAAACAATAAAATGCAAAATGGCTCCATAGCGCCCCCTAAGGTGGAAATTCACACTATTGACTGTCACGCCTGTACGCTTTGTCAAAATGACACAAAATTTGACACACATATGTATCTCAATAAGATCTACAAAAAAGTCAGTGCGGGCGTATCTGTCAAATGTACGGTTAAAGGGCTATTTCGCATTTTTTGGCGATCCGTACACATTGGAATTTCGCTAACTCCTCCGAAGGCTTTCGTTCCACCGGCACCACATTTGCTCAGGCCAATCTACACCCCATGGCCATTAAAAGTTATTCAAATCATGACGCTGCACCCCACGGTTTAGGTTCTAGGGGGCGCCAAAGATAACCCTAAAATCCACATATTTAAAAGTCTTATAACTTTTTATTTTTGTCCTCACTGGCCTCCAAGTTTTCTAGGATGATGCAATGTCCAGCCATCAACACATTTGTGAAGGAATTTTTACTCCCCAAAAGAGCGCCCCCCCATGGCAGGAGAAAAAAGTCCATTTTTTCTTGTCCCCTAAGGTGAAAATACACATTGTTGAGTGTCACGCCTCTACACTTTGTCAAAATGACACAAAATTTGGCACACAGGTGTATCTCAATAAGATCTACGAAAAAGTCAATGCGGGCGTATCTGTCAAATGTACGGTTAAAGGGCTATTTCGCATTTTTTGGCGATCCGTACACATTGGAATTTCGCTAACTCCTCCGAAGGCTTTTGTTCCACCGGCACCACATTTGCTCAGGCCAATCTACACCCCATGGCCATTAAAAGTTATTCAAATCATGACGCTGCACCCCACGGTTTAGGTTCTAGGGGGCGCCAAAGATAACCCTAAAATCCACATATTTAAAAGTCTTATAACTTTTTATTTTTGTCCTCACTGGCCTCCAAGTTTTCTAGGATGATGCAATGTCCAGCCATCAACACATTTGTGAAGGAATTTTTACTCCCCAAAAGAGCGCCCCCCCATGGCAGGAGAAAAAAGTCGATTTTTTCTTGTCCCCTAAGGTGGAAATTCACACTATTGACTGTCACGCCTGTACGCTTTATCATATTGACACAAAAATTGACACACATATGTATCTCAATAAGATCTACAAAAAAGTCAATGCGCGCGTATCTGTCAAATGTACGGTTAAAGGGCTATTTTGCATTTTTTGCCGATTCGCACACATTGGAATGTGGCTAACTCCTCCTAAGGCTTTCGTCCCACTGACACCAAATTTGCTCAGGCCAATCTACACCCCATGGCCATTCAAAGTTTTAAAAATCATGACGCTGCACCCCACGGTTTACGTTCTAGGGGGCGCCAAAGATGACCCAAAAATCCACATTCTTAAAGGAATCCACATCCCCCCCCAAGGCAGGAGAAAAAGTCAAGTTAACCCTGCCCATCGCTCAATGGCTCAATCGCATCGCTCTCCAGGCAACACCGTAAGGAGGATTAACCTGCCATTTCGATATATCATAGCTGTGTTTGTGCCCTCACTCATGGTCCAGACTTTTTTCAAATAGGACATGAAGTTTGTCTGCAGCGAGTGTTTTGGTAGAAACTGCGCCTCCCATTCATTATAATGGGAAATGACCACAGACAAGTGCGCACACCATCTTTGGACCTTGAGTGTGACGCGATCGGGAGGGGGAGGCGGTCGCGCTAGGGGCGGCGCGACGCGGCTCGGGCCCGACAGTGCCCCACCGGGGCCCTAGTTATTATTAGGGCCCGAGCCAGCTGCAGAGCAGCCGGGCGTAGGCCCTGTTATTCCTGTAGGGGTTTTTAGGGCCCGAGCGTAGCTGCTAAGCAGCTGCGAGAGCCCTCTTGTTAGGGCCCGAGCGTAGCTGCTAAGCAGCTGCGAGAGCCCTCTTGTTCCTGTAGTTTCCTTCTTTTGTTATTATTATTATTATTATTATTTTTCCTCCCCTTTGAACTGGAAAATGGCCCACTTCCCACTGGCGAAAACTCATGAAATTTGGCAGGACGACCGGGCCTGGTGAAAAATTTGATATTCCGAAGTCACCCAAACAAGAAAATGCAAAATGGCTCCATAGCGCCCCCTAAGGTGAAAATTCACACTATTCACTGTCACGCCTGTACGCTTTGTCAAAATGACACAAAAATTGACACACACATGTATCTCAATAAGATCTACAAAAAAGTCAGTGCGGGCGTATCTGTCAAATGTACGGTTAAAGGGTTATTTCGCATTTTTTGCCGATCCGCACACATTGGAATTTCGCTAACTCCTCCGAAGGCTTTCGTTCCACCGGCACCACATTTGCTCAGGCCAATCTACACCCCATGGCCATTAAAAGTTATTCAAATCATGACGCTGCACCCCACGGTTTAGGTTCTAGGGGGCGCCAAAGATAACCCTAAGATCCACATATTTAAAAGTCTTATAACTTTTTATTTTTGCCCTCACTGGCCTCCAAGTTTTCTAGGATGATGCAATGTCCAGCCATCAACACATTTGTGAAGGAATTTTTACTCCCCAAAAGAGCGCCCCCCATGGCAGGAGAAAAAAGTCCATTTTTTCTTGTCCCCTAAGGTGAAAATACACATTGTTGAGTGTAACACCTGTACGCTTTGGCAAAATGACACAAAAATTGACACACACATGTATCTCAATAAGATCTACGAAAAAGTCAATGCGCGCGTATCTGTCAAATGTACGGTTAAAGGGTTATTCCGCATTTTTTGCCGATCCGCACACATTGGAATTTCGCTAACTCCTCCGAAGGCTTTCGTTCCACCGGCACCACATTTGCTCAGGCCAATCTACACCCCATGGCCATTAAAAGTTATTCAAATCATGACGCTGCACCCCACGGTTTAGGTTCTAGGGGGAGCCAAAGATAACCCTAAAATCCACATATTTAAAAGTCTTATAACTTTTTATTTTTGTCCCCACTGGCCTCCAAGTTTTCTAGGATGATGCAATGTCCAGCCATCAACACATTTGTGAAGGAATTTTTACTCGGCAAAAGAGCGCTCCCCCATGGCAGGAGAAAAAAGTCAATTTTTTCTTGTCCACTAAGGTGAAAATACACATTGTTGAGTGCTACGCCTGTATGTTTTGTCGTATTGACACAAAATTTTACATACACGTGTATTTCAATAAGATCTTCGAAAAAGTCAATGGCCACGTATCTGTAAAATGTACGGTTAAAGGGTTATTTCGCATTTTTTGCAGATTCGCACACATTGGAATTTCGCTAATTCCTCCGAAGGCTTTCGTTCCACCGGCACCACATTTGCTCAGGCCAATCTACACCCCATGGCCATTAAAAGTTATTCAAATCATGATGCTGCACCCCACAGTTTAGGTTCTAGGGGGCGCCAAATATAACCCTAAAATCCACATATTTAAAAGTCTTATAACTTTTTATTTTTGTCCTCACTGGCCTCCATGTTTTCTAGGATGATGCAATGTCCAGCCATCAACACATTTGTGAAGGAGTTTTTTCTCTTTAAAAGAGCGCCCCCCCATGGCAGGAGAATAAAGTCAAGTTTTTCCTGTTCATCATTCAATGGCTCAAACGCACTGCTCTCTCGGCAAAAGCGAAAGGAGGAGCAACTTGCCATTTGGATATATCTTAGCTGTGTTTGTGCCCTCACTCATGGTCCAGACTTTTTTCAAATAGGACATGGAGTTTTTCTGCAGCGAGCGTTTTGGTAGTAACTGTGCCTCCCGTTCATTATAATGGTAAATGACCACAAACAAGTGCGCACACCATCTTTGGACCTTGAGTGTGACGCGATCGGGTGGGGGAGGCGGTCGCGCTGGGGGCGGCGTGACACGGCTCGGGCCCGCCAGTGCCCCAACGGGGCCCTAGTTCCTGCATGTTTCCTTCTTTTGTTATTATTATTATTTTTCCTCCCCTTTGAACTGGAAAATGGCCCACTTCCCACTGGCGAAAACTCATGAAATTTGGCAGGACGACCGGGCCTGGTGAAAAATTTGATATTCCGAAGTCGCCCAAACAAGAAAATGCAAAATGGCTCCATAGCGCCCCCTAAGGTGAAAATTCACACTATTGACTGTCACGCCTGTACGCTTTGTCATATTGACACAAAAATTGACACACGTATGTATCTCAATAAGATCTACAAAAAAGTCAGTGCGGGCGTATCTGTCAAATGTACGGTTAAAGGGTTATTTCGCATTTTTTGCCGATCCGCACACATTGGAATTTCGCTAACTCCTCCGAAGGCTTTCGTTCCACCGGCACCACATTTGCTCAGGCCAATCTACACCCCATGGCCATTAAAAGTTATTCAAATCATGACGCTGCACCCCACGGTTTAGGTTCTAGGGGGCGCCAAAGATAACCGTAAAATCCACATATTTAAAAGTCTTATAACTTTTTATTTTTGCCCTCACTGGCCTCCAAGTTTTCTAGGATGATGCAATGTCCAGCCATCAACACATTTGTGAAGGAATTTTTACTCCCCAAAAGAGCGCCCCCCATGGCAGGAGAAAAAAGTCCATTTTTTCTTGTCCCCTAAGGTGAAAATACACATTGTTGAGTGTAACACCTGTATGCTTTGGCAAAATGACACAAAAATTGACACACACATGTATCTCAATAAGATCTACGAAAAAGTCATAGCGCGCGTATCTGTCAAATGTACGGTTAAAGGGTTATTCCGCATTTTTTGCCGATCCGCACACATTGGAATTTCGCTAACTCCTCCGAAGGCTTTCGTTCCACCGGCACCACATTTGCTCTGGCCAATCTACACCCCATGGCCATTAAAAGTTATTCAAATCATGACGCTGCACCCCACGGTTTAGGTTCTAGGGGGCGCCAAAGATAACCGTAAAATCCACATATTTAAAAGTCTTATAACTTTTTATTTTTGTCCCCACTGGCCTCCAAGTTTTCTAGGATGATGCAATGTCCAGCCATCAACACATTTGTGAAGGAATTTTTACTCGCCAAAAGAGCGCCCCCCATGGCAGGAGAAAAAAGTCCATTTTTTCTTGTCCACTAAGGTGAAAATACACATTGTTGAGTGCTACGCCTGTATGTTTTGTCGTATTGACACAAAATTTTACATACACGTGTCTTTCAATAAGATCTTCAAAAAAGTCAATGGCCACGTATCTGTCAAATGTACGGTTAAAGGGTTATTTCGCATTTTTTGCAGATTCGCACACATTGGAATTTCGCTAACTCCTCCGAAGGCTTTCGTTCCACCGGCACCACATTTGCTCAGGCCAATCTACACCCCGTGGCCAGTAAAAGTTATCAAAATCATGACGCTGCACCCCAAGGTTTAGGTTCTAGGGGGCGCCAAAGATAACCCTAAAATCCACATATTTAAAAGTCTTATAACTTTTTATTTTTGTCCTCACTGGCCTCCAAGTTTTCTAGGATGATGCAATGTCCAGCCATCAACACATTTGTGAAGGAATTTTTACTCCCCAAAAGAGCGCCCCCCCATGGCAGGAGAAAAAAGTCCATTTTTTCTTGTCCCATAAGGTGAAAAAACACATTGTTGACTGTCATACCTGTACGCTTTGTCATATTGACACAAAATTTGACAATCACATGTATCTCAATAAGATCTACGAAAAAGTCAATGCGCGCGTATCTGTAAAATGTACGGTTAAAGGGCTATTTTGCATTTTTTGCCGATTCGCACACATTGGAATGTGGCTAACTCCTCCTAAGGCTTTCGTCCCACTGACACCAAATTTGCTCAGGCCAATCTACACCCCATGGCCATTCAAAGTTGTAAAAATCATGACGCTGCACCTCACGGTTTACGTTCTAGGGGGCGCCAAAGATGACCCAAATATCCACATTCTTAAAAGAATCCACATCCCCCCCATCCCCCATCCCCCATGGCAGGAGAAACAGTCAAGTTTTTCCTGCCCATCACTCAATGGCTCAATCGCATCACTCTCCCGGCAACACTGTAACGAGGAGCAACTTGCCGTTTGGATATATCCTAGCTGTGTTTGTGCCCTCACTCATGGTCCAGACTTTTTTCAAATAGGACATGTAGTTTGTCTGCAGCGAGTGTTTTGGTAGAAACTGCGCCTCCCATTCATTATAATGGGAAATGACCACAGACAAGTGCGCACACCATCTTTGGACCTTGAGTGTGACGCGATCGGGAGGGGGAGGCGGTCGCGCTGGGGGCGGCGCAACGCGGCTCGGGCCCGACAGTGCCCCACCGGGGTCCTAGTTCTTTGTTAGGGCCCGAGCCAGCTGCAGAGCAGCCGGGCGTAGGCCCTATTATTCCCCAAGTGGTTTTTCTTTGTTTCTTTCTTTCTTTCTTTAGGGCCCGAGCGTAGCTGCTAAGCAGCTGCGAGAGCCCTCTTGTTCCTGTAGTTTCCTTCTTTTGTTATTATTATTATTTTTCCTCCCCTTTGAACTGGAAAATGGCCCACTTCCCACTGGCGAAAACTCATGAAATTTGGCAGGACGACCGGGCCTGGTGAAAAATTTGATATTCCGAAGTCGCCCAAACAAGAAAATGCAAAATGGCTCCATAGCGCCCCCTAAGGTGAAAATTCACACTATTCACTGTCACGCCTGTACGCTTTGTCAAAATGACACAAAAATTGACACACACATGTATCTCAATAAGATCTACAAAAAAGTCAGTGCGGGCGTATCTGTCAAATGTACGGTTAAAGGGTTATTTCGCATTTTTTGCCGATCCGCACACATTGGAATTTCGCTAACTCCTCCGAAGGCTTTCGTTCCACCGGCACCACATTTGCTCAGGCCAATCTACACCCCATGGCCATTAAAAGTTATTCAAATCATGACGCTGCACCCCACGGTTTAGGTTCTAGGGGGCGCCAAAGATAACCCTAAGATCCACATATTTAAAAGTCTTATAACTTTTTATTTTTGCCCTCACTGGCCTCCAAGTTTTCTAGGATGATGCAATGTCCAGCCATCAACACATTTGTGAAGGAATTTTTACTCCCCAAAAGAGCGCCCCCCCATGGCAGGAGAAAAAAGTCCATTTTTTCTTGTCCCCTAAGGTGAAAATACACATTGTTGAGTGTAACACCTGTACGCTTTGGCAAAATGACACAAAAATTGACACACACATGTATCTCAATAAGATCTACGAAAAAGTCAATGCGCGCGTATCTGTTAAATGTACGGTTAAAGGGTTATTCCGCATTTTTTGCCGATCCGCACACATTGGAATTTCGCTAACTCCTCCGAAGGCTTTCGTTCCACCGGCACCACATTTGCTCAGGCCAATCTACACCCCATGGCCATTAAAAGTTATTCAAATCATGACGCTGCACCCCACGGTTTAGGTTCTGGGGGGCGCCAAAGATAACCGTAAAATCCACATATTTAAAAGTCTTATAACTTTTTATTTTTGTCCCCACTGGCCTCCAAGTTTTCTAGGATGATGCAATGTCCAGCCATCAACACATTTGTGAAGGAATTTTTACTCGCCAAAAGAGCGCCCCCATGGCAGGAGAAAAAAGTCCATTTTTTCTTGTCCACTAAGGTGAAAATACACATTGTTGAGTGCTACGCCTGTATGTTTTGTCGTATTGACACAAAATTTTACATACACGTGTATTTCAATAAGATCTTCGAAAAAGTCAATGGCCACGTATCTGTAAAATGTACGGTTAAAGGGTTATTTCGCATTTTTTGCAGATTCGCACACATTGGAATTTCGCTAACTCCTCCGAAGGCTTTCGTTCCACCGGCACCACATTTGCTCAGGCCAATCTACACCCCATGGCCATTAAAAGTTATTCAAATCATGACGCTGCACCCCACGGTTTAGGTTCTAGGGGGCGCCAAAGATAACCCTAAAATCCACATATTTAAAAGTCTTATAACTTTTTATTTTTGTCCTCACTGGCCTCCATGTTTTCTAGGATGATGCAATGTCCAGCCATCAACACATTTGTGAAGGAGTTTTTTCTCGTTAAAAGAGCGCCCCCCCCATGGCAGGAGAATAAAGTCAAGTTTTTCCTGTTCATCATTCAATGGCTCAAACGCACTGCTCTCTCGGCAAAAGCGAAAGGAGGAGCAACTTGCCATTTGGATATATCTTAGCTGTGTTTGTGCCCTCACTCATGGTCCAGACTTTTTTCAAATAGGACATGGAGTTTTTCTGCAGCGAGCGCTTTGGTAGAAACTGCGCCTCCCGTTCATTATAATGGTAATTGACCACAAACAAGTGCGCACACCATCTTTGGACCTTGAGTGTGACGCGATCGGGTGGGGGAGGCGGTCACGCTGGGGGCGGCGTGACACGGCTCGGGCCCGCCAGTGCCCCAACGGGGCCCTAGTTCTTTCTTTCTTTCTTTAGGGCCCGAGCGTAGCTGCTAAGCAGCTGCGAGAGCCCTATTATTCCTGATGGATTCTTCTTAGGGCCCGAGCGTAGCTGCTAAGCAGCTGCGAGAGCCCTCTTGTTCCTGTAGTTTCCTTCTTTTGTTATTATTAGGGCCCGAGCCAGCTGCAGAGCAGCCGGGCTTAGGCCCTATTATTCCCCAAGTGGTTTTTCTTTGTTTCTTTCTTTCTTTCTTTCTTTCTTTCTTAGGGCCCGAGCGTAGCTGCTAAGCAGCTGCGAGAGCCCTCTTGTTCCTGTAGTTTCCTTCTTTTGTTATTATTATTATTATTATTATTTTTCCTCCCCTTTGAACTGGAAAATGGCCCACTTCCCACTGGCAAAAACTCATGAAATTTGGCAGGACGACCGGGCCTGGTGAAAAATTTGATATTCCGAAGTCGCCCAAACAAGAAAATGCAAAATGGCTCCATAGCGCCCCCTAAGGTGAAAATTCACACTATTCACTGTCACGCCTGTACGCTTTGTCAAAATGACACAAAAATTGACACACACATGTATCTCAATAAGATCTACAAAAAAGTCAGTGCGGGCGTATCTGTCAAATGTACGGTTAAAGGGTTATTTCGCATTTTTTGCCGATCCGCACACATTGGAATTTCGCTAACTCCTCCGAAGGCTTTCGTTCCACCGGCACCACATTTGCTCAGGCCAATCTACACCCCATGGCCATTAAAAGTTATTCAAATCATGACGCTGCACCCCACGGTTTAGGTTCTAGGGGGCGCCAAAGATAACCCTAAGATCCACATATTTAAAAGTCTTATAACTTTTTATTTTTGCCCTCACTGGCCTCCAAGTTTTCTAGGATGATGCAATGTCCAGCCATCAACACATTTGTGAAGGAATTTTTACTCCCCAAAAGAGCGCCCCCCCATGGCAGGAGAAAAAAGTCCATTTTTTCTTGTCCTCTAAGGTGAAAATACACATTGTTGAGTGTAACACCTGTACGCTTTGGCAAAATGACACAAAAATTGACACACACATGTATCTCAATAAGATCTACGAAAAAGTCAATGCGCACGTATCTGTTACATGTACGGTTAAAGGGTTATTCCGCATTTTTTGCCGATCCGCACACATTGGAATTTCGCTAACTCCTCCGAAGGCTTTCGTTCCACCGGCACCACATTTGCTCAGGCCAATCTACACCCCATGGCCATTAAAAGTTATTCAAATCATGACGCTGCACCCCACGGTTTAGGTTCTAGGGGGCGCCAAAGATAACCGTAAAATCCACATATTTAAAAGTCTTATAACTTTTTATTTTTGTCCCCACTGGCCTCCAAGTTTTCTAGGATGATGCAATGTCCAGCCATCAACACATTTGTGAAGGAATTTTTACTCCCCAAAAGAGCGCCCCCCATGGCAGGAGAAAAAAGTCAATTTTTTCTTGTCCACTAAGGTGAAAATACACATTGTTGAGTGCTACGCCTGTATGTTTTGTCGTATTGACACAAAATTTTACATACACGTGTATTTCAATAAGATCTACGAAAAAGTCAATGGCCACGTATCTGTAAAATGTACGGTTAAAGGGTTATTTTGCATTTTTTGCAGATTCGCACACATTGGAATTTCGCTAACTCCTCCGAAGGCTTTTGTTCCACCGGCACCACATTTGCTCAGGCCAATCTACACCCCATGGCCATTAAAAGTTATTCAAATCATGACGCTGCACCCCACGGTTTAGGTTCTAGGGGGCGCCAAAGATAACCCTAAAATCCACATATTTAAAAGTCTTATAACTTTTTATTTTTGTCCTCACTGGCCTCCATGTTTTCTAGGATGATGCAATGTCCAGCCATCAACACATTTGTGAAGGAGTTTTTTCTCGTTAAAAGAGCGCCCCCCCTGGCAGGAGAATAAAGTCAAGTTTTTCCTGTTCATCATTCAATGGCTCAAACGCACTGCTCTCTCGGCAAAAGCGAAAGGAGGAGCAACTTGCCATTTGGATATATCTTAGCTGTGTTTGTGCCCTCACTCATGGTCCAGACTTTTTTCAAATAGGACATGGAGTTTTTCTGCAGCGAGCGCTTTGGTAGAAACTGCGCCTCCCGTTCATTATAATGGTAAATGACCACAAACAAGTGCGCACACCATCTTTGGACCTTGAGTGTGACGCGATCGGGTGGGGGAGGCGGTCGCGCTGGGGGCGGCGTGACACGGCTCGGGCCCGCCAGTGCCCCAACGGGGCCCTAGTTTCTTCTTTTTCCTCCCCTTTGAACTGGAAAATGGCCCACTTCCCACTGTCGAAAACTCATGAAATTTGGCAGGACGACCGGGCCTGGTGAAAAATTCGATATTCTGAAGTCGCCCAAACAATAAAATGCAAAATGGCTCCATAGCGCCCCCTAAGGTGGAAATTCACACTATTGACTGTCACGCCTGTACGCTTTGTCATATTGACACAAAAATTGACACACATATGTATCTCAATAAGATCTACAAAAAAGTCAGTGCGGCCGTATCTGTCAAATGTACGGTTAAAGGGTTATTTCGCATTTTTTGCCGATCCGCACACATTGGAATTTCGCTAACTCCTCCGAAGGCTTTCGTTCCACCGGCACCACATTTGCTCAGGCCAATCTACACCCCATGGCCATTAAAAGTTATTCAAATCATGACGCTGCACCCCACGGTTTAGGTTCTAGGGGGCGCCAAAGATAACCCTAAAATCCACATATTTAAAAGTCTTATAACTTTTTATTTTTGCCCTCACTGGCCTCCAAGTTTTCTAGGATGATGCAATGTCCAGCCATCAACACATTTGTGAAGGAATTTTTACTCCCCAAAAGAGCGCCCCCCATGGCAGGAGAAAAAAGTCCATTTTTTCTTGTCCCCTAAGGTGAAAATTCACACTATTGACTGTCACGCCTGTACGCTTTGTCAAAATGACACAAAAATTGACACACACATGTATCTCAATAAGATCTACAAAAAAGTCCATGCGCGCGTATCTGTCTAATGTACGGTTAAAGGGTTATTTCGCATTTTTTGCCGATCCGCACACATTGGAATTTCGCTAACTCCTCCAAAGGCTTTCGTTCCACCGGCACCACATTTGCTCAGGCCAATCTACACCCCATGGCCATTAAAAGTTATTCAAATCATGACGCTGCACCCCACGGTTTACGTTCTAGGGGGCGCCAAAGATAACCCAAAAATCCACATTTTTAAAAGTCTTATAACTTTTTATTTTTGTCCTCACTGGCCTCCAAGTTTTCTAGGATGATGCAATGTCCAGCCATCAACACATTTGTGAAGGAATTTTTACTCCCCAAAAGAGCGCCCCCCCCATGGCAGGAGAAAAAAGTCAATTTTTTCTTGTCCCCTAAGGTGAAAATACACATTGTTGACTGTCACGCCTGTACGCTTTGGCAAAATGACACAAAAATTGACAATCATGTGTATCTCAATTAGATCTACGAAAAAGTCAAAGAGCGCGTATCTGTATAATGTACGGTAAAAGTGCTATTTTGCATTTTTTGCCGATTCGCACACATTGGAATTTCGCTAACTCCTCTGAAGGCTTTCGTCCCACTGACACCAAATTTGCTCAGGCCAATCTACACTCCATGGCCATTCAAAGTTGTAAAAATCATGACGCTGCACCCCACGGTTTACGTTTTAGGGGGCGCCAAAGATGACCCAAATATACATTACAGTAGACAAAGTAGTTTTGCCCACTGAGTGGCGCCAAAGGGACTTGTCTGTGGAGTCTGTGAGTCACTATTGGCCGTTTTTGACTACTTTAGATTTTACCTTTATATTTCCTCTTACAAAATTTTTACCTTGCCTTGCCTGGTATCATTTTTTTCAGCACAACCTCACCTGTGTCAATTTACAGTTATTTTATCATTTTGACATACTATATTTACACATTGGACCCAAATTCACACACAAAACATAAAATCCGAGTGGAAAAAAGTAACGTTTTTACTGTGAAAACCACAAATATGTGTGATGAACTGTTTTTAAAACTTAAACTTCAAATAAAAATTGTAAACTTCAAAACATATGCAAATTTTTAACAAAGAACATAGTAATTTACCTCTATTGACATCAAAATGCAGGCAATGGCCCAGGTGTTCTTTGTAAAATTATTTACAAAACACTGTATAGTCTCACAAATGTCACTTTTTATTTATGCCACTACAAAAAAACATGATGTAAATGATGCATGATGTAAAACATGATGTAAAAAACTTGTGTAGATCCTCCTCTATGTTAGTCCATGTGTAATTTTTCCATAATTCTTTGTTTTTTGCAGCATTTTTGTTAGTGTAACTGCAGATTGTGCTGACAGTGTCTATGGCAAAAAAAAAAAAACAAACTGAAAATGCCTCAACATGAACCCCTGGTGGTCTCTGAGGGTGAAACCTGCTAACTGCTGCAGCTCTGTCAGCTTCAGTCTCCCATGCAGAGCTCGGAGCGCATGTGTGGCTCTGCACCCTTAGCAGCGTTGCTAACTCCTCAGTAAGGAAAGCCTGCTTCATGTCAGAGTCTCTAAACTCCAGAAGAAGTCGATAAAAGTCCCTTTCTTTCTAAAAAAAAGTCGTTAGGGGGTCTGAAAAGTCATTGAATCTAACAACAAAGTCGCTAGGTTTGCAACTACGTGTCCCAGACTGCATCCCTGCTGAGAGTCCCTCCCTCCCTTCTCATATTGCAGGAAGAACGTAAGTTCTCGCCCCTTGTCAATCAGTCACCATATAATTTTGGATTGGTTGTTGTGGTGAAGTTTTCCACCAATAGGAGAGATGTTGTGGTGTGTATTTTTTTCCTTTGGCAAGCCTTTTCCGCCTGTAAGACCTGTCGCTAATGTCTGCATGCTATGTTTTCCTGTCTCATACAGCGCGATCGAGCGCCGAACGTGATCAAAATAAGCAGAAAACAAGTATCGCGGACATAATTTATCATAACTCTGGTTTTATTTGGCCTATCAACACAATTTAAAAACTGGTATATAGGTTGAGGTCCTCACTTTTGAGATAAATTGAAACGGAGAGTCAACGAGGCTCCGTCTTGCAGCTACATCCGGTTAAATATGTCATGTGACTTGAACGCACACACACACACACACACACAGACACACACACACACACGCACACACACACACTCAGAGTCTGGTTTGTAGCACCTGCAAAAACATGCTATTTACATATTTGACAAGAATGCAGAGGCTCCTTTTGCCCCTGAAAAAAATCAAATTTCAAACACAACTTGACTGGTCATTTCTCCAAAAGACAACCATGAAGCTCCATCCAAACCTGAAGCAGGCAGTTGGTGCATGTGTACAGTAACCTGAGGGGAGTGAGGTGACTGCTTCTGAGGAGAACATGAGCAGTGAAGATTTACCTTAGAGCTAGAACAGAGACGTGCACATGATTATACAGGGGCAGGGGCTCAAGTTTTTTCCAGTCGTTTATACAATTTGGAAATTAATGTGAAATTAAAAAACAAAGTATTAATAGAAAGGTAATGACTGTCCTGTGTAGGTGACAGTGATATCCAATAGGCTAGGCACTCACGAGGCTGGCTGTGGCAAGTGTAAGTGAAAGCAACACGCACTGGCAGGAAGAACAGCAAACGCCGATGAAGGAAAAGGGTCTTTGCAGTGATGGGCGTTACCAAAGAGGGCGATGGCCAGAGGACACAAATGGGACGGGGAGGCAGCGCGTTGGGGGGGGGACGCGACACAGCTCGGGCCCGCCAGTGCCCCAACGGGGTCCTAGTTATTAGGGCCCGAGCGTAGCTGCTAAGCAGCTGCGAGAGCCCTCTTGTTCCTGCATGTTTCCTTCTTTTGTTATTATTATTATTTTTCCTCCCCTTTGAACTGGAAAATGGCCCACTTCCCACTGGCGAAAACTCATGAAATTTGGCAGGACGACCGGGCCTGGTGAAAAATTTGATATTCCGAAGTCGCCCAAACAAGAAAATGCAAAATGGCTCCATAGCGCCCCCTAAGGTGAAAATTCACACTATTGACTGTCACGCCTGTACGCTTTGTCATATTGACACAAAAATTGACACACGTATGTATCTCAATAAGATCTACAAAAAAGTCAGTGCGGGCGTATCTGTCAAATGTACGGTTAAAGGGTTATTTCGCATTTTTTGCCGATCCGCACACATTGGAATTTCGCTAACTCCTCCGAAGGCTTTCGTTCCACCGGCACCACATTTGCTCAGGCCAATCTACACCCCATGGCCATTAAAAGTTATTCAAATCATGACGCTGCACCCCACGGTTTAGGTTCTAGGGGGCGCCAAAGATAACCGTAAAATCCACATATTTAAAAGTCTTATAACTTTTTATTTTTGCCCTCACTGGCCTCCAAGTTTTCTAGGATGATGCAATGTCCAGCCATCAACACATTTGTGAAGGAATTTTTACTCCCCAAAAGAGCGCCCCCCCATGGCAGGAGAAAAAAGTCCATTTTTTCTTGTCCCCTAAGGTGAAAATACACATTGTTGAGTGTAACACCTGTATGCTTTGGCAAAATGACACAAAAATTGACACACACATGTATCTCAATAAGATCTACGAAAAAGTCATAGCGCGCGTATCTGTCAAATGTACGGTTAAAGGGTTATTCCGCATTTTTTGCCGATCCGCACACATTGGAATTTCGCTAACTCCTCCGAAGGCTTTCGTTCCACCGGCACCACATTTGCTCTGGCCAATCTACACCCCATGGCCATTAAAAGTTATTCAAATCATGACGCTGCACCCCACGGTTTAGGTTCTAGGGGGCGCCAAAGATAACCGTAAAATCCACATATTTAAAAGTCTTATAACTTTTTATTTTTGTCCCCACTGGCCTCCAAGTTTTCTAGGATGATGCAATGTCCAGCCATCAACACATTTGTGAAGGAATTTTTACTCGCCAAAAGAGCGCCCCCCATGGCAGGAGAAAAAAGTCCATTTTTTCTTGTCCACTAAGGTGAAAATACACATTGTTGAGTGCTACGCCTGTATGTTTTGTCGTATTGACACAAAATTTTACATACACGTGTCTTTCAATAAGATCTTCAAAAAAGTCAATGGCCACGTATCTGTCAAATGTACGGTTAAAGGGTTATTTCGCATTTTTTGCAGATTCGCACACATTGGAATTTCGCTAACTCCTCCGAAGGCTTTCGTTCCACCGGCACCACATTTGCTCAGGCCAATCTACACCCCGTGGCCAGTAAAAGTTATCAAAATCATGACGCTGCACCCCAAGGTTTAGGTTCTAGGGGGCGCCAAAGATAACCCTAAAATCCACATATTTAAAAGTCTTATAACTTTTTATTTTTGTCCTCACTGGCCTCCAAGTTTTCTAGGATGATGCAATGTCCAGCCATCAACACATTTGTGAAGGAATTTTTACTCCCCAAAAGAGCGCCCCCCCATGGCAGGAGAAAAAAGTCCATTTTTTCTTGTCCCATAAGGTGAAAAAACACATTGTTGACTGTCATACCTGTACGCTTTGTCATATTGACACAAAATTTGACAATCACATGTATCTCAATAAGATCTACGAAAAAGTCAATGCGCGCGTATCTGTAAAATGTACGGTTAAAGGGCTATTTTGCATTTTTTGCCGATTCGCACACATTGGAATGTGGCTAACTCCTCCTAAGGCTTTCGTCCCACTGACACCAAATTTGCTCAGGCCAATCTACACCCCATGGCCATTCAAAGTTGTAAAAATCATGACGCTGCACCTCACGGTTTACGTTCTAGGGGGCGCCAAAGATGACCCAAATATCCACATTCTTAAAAGAATCCACATCCCCCCCATCCCCCATCCCCCATGGCAGGAGAAACAGTCAAGTTTTTCCTGCCCATCACTCAATGGCTCAATCGCATCACTCTCCCGGCAACACTGTAACGAGGAGCAACTTGCCGTTTGGATATATCCTAGCTGTGTTTGTGCCCTCACTCATGGTCCAGACTTTTTTCAAATAGGACATGTAGTTTGTCTGCAGCGAGTGTTTTGGTAGAAACTGCGCCTCCCATTCATTATAATGGGAAATGACCACAGACAAGTGCGCACACCATCTTTGGACCTTGAGTGTGACGCGATCGGGAGGGGGAGGCGGTCGCGCTGGGGGCGGCGCAACGCGGCTCGGGCCCGACAGTGCCCCACCGGGGTCCTAGTTATTATTTTTCCTCCCCTTTGAACTGGAAAATGGCCCACTTCCCACTGGCGAAAACTCATGAAATTTGGCAGGACGACCGGGCCTGGTGAAAAATTTGATATTCCGAAGTCGCCCAAACAAGAAAATGCAAAATGGCTCCATAGCGCCCCCTAAGGTGAAAATTCACACTATTCACTGTCACGCCTGTACGCTTTGTCAAAATGACACAAAAATTGACACACACATGTATCTCAATAAGATCTACAAAAAAGTCAGCGCGGGCGTATCTGTCAAATGTACGGTTAAAGGGTTATTTCGCATTTTTTGCCGATCCGCACACATTGGAATTTCGCTAACTCCTCCGAAGGCTTTCGTTCCACCGGCACCACATTTGCTCAGGCCAATCTACACCCCATGGCCATTAAAAGTTATTCAAATCATGACGCTGCACCCCACGGTTTAGGTTCTAGGGGGCGCCAAAGATAACCCTAAAATCCACATATTTAAAAGTCTTATAACTTTTTATTTTTGCCCTCACTGGCCTCCAAGTTTTCTAGGATGATGCAATGTCCAGCCATAAACACATTTGTGAAGGAATTTTTACTCCCCAAAAGAGCGCCCCCCCCATGGCAGGAGAAAAAAGTCCATTTTTTCTTGTCCCCTAAGGTGAAAATTCACACTATTGACTGTCACGCCTGTACGCTTTGTCAAAATGACACAAAAATTGACACACACATGTATCTCAAAAGGATCTACAAAAAAGTCCATGCGCGCGTATCTGTCTAATGTACGGTTAAAGGGTTATTTTGCATTTTTTGCCGATCCGCACACATTGGAATTTCGCTAACTCCTCTGAAGGCTTTCGTTCCACCGGCACCACATTTGCTCAGGCCAATCTACACCCCATGGCCATTAAAAGTTATTCAAATCATGACGCTGCACCCCACGGTTTACGTTCTAGGGGGCGCCAAAGATAACCCAAAAATCCACATTTTTAAAAGTCTTATAACTTTTTATTTTTGTCCTCACTGGCCTCCAAGTTTTCTAGGATGATGCAATGTCCAGCCATCAACACATTTGTGAAGGAATTTTTACTCCCTAAAAGAGTGCCCCCCCATGGCAGGAGAAAAAAGTCCATTTTTTCTTGTCCCCTAAGGTGAAAATACACATTGTTGACTGTCACGCCTGTATGCTTTGGCAAAATGACACAAAAATTGACAATCATGTGTATCTCAATTAGATCTACGAAAAAGTCAAAGAGCGCGTATCTGTATAATGTACGGTAAAAGGGCTATTTTGCATTTTTTGCCGATTCGCACACATTGGAATTTCGTCCCACTGACACCAAATTTGCTCAGGCCAATCTACACTCCATGGCCATTCAAAGTTGTAAAAATCATGACGCTGCACCCCACGGTTTACGTTTTAGGGGGCGCCAAAGATGACCCAAATATACATTACAGTAGACAAAGTAGTTTTGCCCTCTGAGTGGCGCCAAAGGGACTTGTCTGTGGAGTCTGTGAGTCACTATTGGCCGTTTTTGACTACTTTAGATTTTACCTTTATATTTCCTCTTACAAAATTTTTACCTTGCCTTGCCTGGTATCATTTTTTTCAGCACAACCTCACCTGTGTCAATTTACAGTTATTTTATCATTTTGACATACTATATTTACACATTGGACCCAAATTCACACACAAAACATAAAATCCGAGTGGAAAAAAGTAACATTTTTACTGTGAAAACCACAAATATGTGTGATGAACTGTTTTTAAAACTTAAACTTCAAATAAAAATTGTAAACTTCAAAACATATGCAAATTTTTAACAAAGAACATAGTAATTTACCTCTATTGACATCAAAATGCAGGCAATGGCCCAGGTGTTCTTTGTAAAATTATTTACAAAACACTGTATAGTCTCACAAATGTCACTTTTTATTTATGCCACTACAAAAAAACATGATGTAAATGATGCATGATGTAAAACATGATGTAAAAAACTTGTGTAGATCCTCCTCTTTGTTAGTCCATGTGTAATTTTTCCATAATTCTTTGTTTTTTGCAGCATTTTTGTTAGTGTAACTGCAGATTGTGCTGACAGTGTCTATGGCAAAAAAAAAAAAAAAACTGAAAATGCCTCAACATGAACCCCTGGTGGTCTCTGAGGGTGAAACCTGCTAACTGCTGCAGCTCTGTCAGCTTCAGTCTCCCATGCAGAGCTCGGAGCGCATGTGTGGCTCTGCACCCTTAGCAGTGTTGCTAACTCCTCAGTAAGGAAAGCCTGCTTCATGTCAGAGTCTCTAAACTCCAGAAGAAGTCGATAAAAGTCACTTTCTTTCTAAAAAAAAGTCGTTAGGGGGTCTGAAAAGTCATTGAATCTAACAACAAAGTCGCTAGGTTTGCAACTACGTGTCCCAGACTGCATCCCTGCTGAGAGTCCCTCCCTCCCTTCTCATATTGCAGGAAGAACGTAAGTTCCCGCCCCTTGTCAATCAGTCACCATATAATTTTGGATTGGTTGTTGTGGTGAAGTTTTCCACCAATAGGAGAGATGTTGTGGTGTGTATTTTTTTTCCTTTGGCAAGCCTTTTCCGCCTGTAAGACCTGTCGCTAATGTCTGCATGCTATGTTTTCCTGTCTCATACAGCGCGATCGAGCGCCGAACGTGATCAAAATAAGCAGAAAAAAAGTATCGCGGACATAATTTATCATAACTCCGGTTTTATTTGGCCTATCAACACAATTTAAAAACTGGTATATAGGTTGAGGTCCTCACTTTTGAGATAAATTGAAACGGAGAGTCAACGAGGCTCCGTCTTGCAGCTACATCCGGTTAAATATGTCATGTGACTTGAACGCACACACACACACACACACAGACACACACACACACACGCACACACACACACTCAGAGTCTGGTTTGTAGCACCTGCAAAAACATGCTATTTACATATTTGACAAGAATGCAGAGGCTCCTTTTGCCCCTGAAAAAAATCAAATTTCAAACACAACTTGACTGGTCATTTCTCCAAAAGACAACCATGAAGCTCCATCCAAACCTGAAGCAGGCAGTTGGTGCATGTGTACAGTAACCTGAGGGGAGTGAGGTGACTGCTTCTGAGGAGAACATGAGCAGTGAAGATTTACCTTAGAGCTAGAACAGAGACGTGCACATGATTATACAGGGGCAGGGGCTCAAGTTTTTTCCAGTCGTTTATACAATTTGGAAATTAATGTGAAATTAAAAAACAAAGTATTAATAGAAAGGTAATGACTGTCCTGTGTAGGTGACAGTGATATCCAATAGGCTAGGCACTCACGAGGCTGGCTGTGGCAAGTGTAAGTGAAAGCAACACGCACTGGCAGGAAGAACAGCAAACGCCGATGAAGGAAAAGGGTCTTTGCAGTGATGGGCGTTACCAAAGAGGGCGATGGCCAGAGGACACAAATGGGACGGGGAGGCAGCGCGTTGGGGGGGGGACGCGACACAGCTCGGGCCCGCCAGTGCCCCAACGGGGTCCTAGTTAGGGCCCGAGCGTAGCTGCTAAGCAGCTGCGAGAGCCCTCTTGTTCCTGCATGTTTCCTTCTTTCGTTATTATTTTTCCTCCGCTTTAAACTGGAAAATGGCCCACTTCCCACTGGCGAAAACTCAGGAAATTTGGCAGGACGACCGGGCCTGGTGAAAAATTCGATATTCTGAAGTCGCCCAAACAATAAAATGCAAAATGGCTCCATAGCGCCCCCTAAGGTGAAAATTCACATGACGGCTGTACGCTTTGTCATATTGACAGAAAAATTGACACACACGTGTATCTCAATAAGATCTACAAAAAAGTCAGTGCGGGCGTATCTGTCAAATGTACGGTTAATGGGTTATTTTTCATTTTTTGCAGATCTGCACACATTGGAATTTCGCTAACTCCTCCGAAGGCTTTCGTTCGACCGGCACCACATTTGCGCAGGCCAATCTACACCCCATGGCCATTAAAAGTTGTACAAATCATGACGCTGCACCCCACGGTTTACGTTCTAGGGGGCGCCAAAGATAACCCAAAAATCCACATTCTTAAAAGTCTTATAACTTTTTACTTTTGTCCTCACTGGCCTCCAAGTTTTCTAGGATGATGCAATGTCCAGCCATCAACACATTTGTGAAGGAATTTTTACTCCCCAAAAGAGCGCCCCCCAATGGCAGGAGAAAAAGGTCCATTTTTTCTTGTCTCCAAAGGTCAAAATACACATTGTCGAGTGTCACGTTTGTATGCTTTGTCATATTGACACAAAATTTGACAATCACATGTATCTCAATAAGATCTACGAAAAAGTCAGAGGGCATGTATCTGTCAAATGTACGGTTAAAGGGCTATTTTGCATTTTTTGCTGATCCGCACACATTGGAATTTCACTAACTCCTCCGAAGGCTATCTTTCCACCGGCACCAAATTTGCTCAGGCCAATCTACACCCCATGGCCATTAAAAGTTGTACAAATCATCTTGCTGCACCCCACGGTTTGGGTTCTAGGGGGCACCAAATATAACCCAAAAATCCACATTCTTAAAAGTCTTATAACTTTTTATTTTTTTCCATACTGGCCTCCAAGTTTTTTAGGATGATGCAATGTCCAGCCATCAACACATTTGTGAAGGAATTTTTACTCCTCAAAAGAGCGCCCCCCCATGGCAGGAGAAAAAAGTCCATTTTTTCTTATCCCGAAAGGTGAAAATACACGTTGTTGAGTGTCACGCCTTTACGCTTTGTCATATTGACAAAAAAATTGACAATCATGTGTATCTCAATTAGATCTACGAAAAAGTCAAAGCGCGCGTATCTGTATAATGTACGGTTAAAGGGCTATTTTGCATTTTTTGCCGATTCGCACACATTGGAATGTGGCTATCTCCTCCTAAGGCTTTCGTCCCACCGATACCAAATTTGCTCAGGGCAATCTACACCCCATGCCCATTCAAAGTTGTAAAAATCATGACGCTGCACCCCACGGTTTACGTTCTAGGGGGCGCCAAAGATGACCCAAAAATCCACATTCTTAAAAGTCATTTTGGCCACTGCAGGAGTACAGAGTACTGCAGTTCTAGGGGGCGCCAAAGATGACCCAAAAATCCACATTCTTAAAAGTCTTTTTGGCCACTGCAGGAGTACAGAGTACTGCAGGATACACACACATATACACACACGCCAACATACACACACACACACACACACACACACACACACACACACACACACACACACACACACACACAGACACACACACACACACTCAGAGTCTGGTTTTTAGCACCTTCAAAAACATGCTGTTTACATATTTGACAAGAATGCAGAGGCTTCCTTTTGCCCCTGAAAAAAATCAAATTTCAAACACAACTTGACTGTTCATTTCTCCAAAAGACAACCATGAAGCTCCATTTCAAACCTGAAGCAGATAGTTGGTGCATGTGTACAGTAACCTGAGGGGAGTGAGGTGACTATTTCTGAGGAGAACATGAGCAGTGAAGATTCACCTTGGAGCTAGAACAGGGACGTGCACATGATTATACAGGGGCAGGGGCTCAAGTTTTTTCCAATCATTTATACAATATGGAAATTAATGTGAAATTAAACCACAAATATGTGTGATGAACTGTTTTTAAAACTTAAACTTCAAATAAAAATTGTAAACTTCAAAACATATGCAAATTTTTAACAAAGAACATAGTAATTTACCTCTATTTACATCAAAATGCAGGCAATGGCCCAGGCGTTCTTTGTAAAATTATTTACAAAACACTGTATAGTCTCACAAATGTCACTTTTTATTTATGCCACTACAAAAAAACATGATGTAAATGATGCATGATGTAAAACATGATGTAAAAAACTTGTGTAGATCCTCCTCTATGTCAGTCCATGTGTAATTTTTCCATAATTCTTTGTTTTTTGCAGCATTTTTGTTAGTGTAACTGCAGATTGTGCTGACAGTGTCTATGGCACAAAAAAAAAAAAATTTAAAATGCCTCAACATGAACCCCTGGTGGTCTCTGAGGGTGAAACCTGCTAACTGCTGCAGCTCAGTCAGCTTCAGTCTCCCATGCAGAGCTCTGAGTGCATGTGTGGCTCTGCACCCTTAGCAGCGTTGCTAACTCCTCAGTAAGGAAAGCCTGCTTCATGTCAGAGTCTCTAAACTCCAGAAGAAGTCGATAAAAGTCCCTTTCTTTCTAAAAAAAAGTCGTTAGGGGGTCTGAAAAGTCATTGAATCTAACAACAAAGTCGCTAGGTTTGCAACTACGTGTCCCAGACTGCATCCCTGCTGAGAGTCCCTCCCTCCCTTCTCATGTTGCAGGAAGAACGTAAGCGCCCGCCCCTTGTCAATCAGTCACCATATAATTTTGGATTGGTTGTTGTGGTGAAGTTTTCCACCAATAGGAGAGATGTTGTGGTGTGTTTTTTTTTTTCTTTTGGCAAGCCTTTTCCGCCTGTAAGACCTGTCGCTAATGTCTGCATGCTATGTTTTCCTGTCTCATACAGCGCGATCGAGCGCCGAACGTGATCAAAATAAGCAGAAAAAAAGTATCGCGGACATAATTTATCATAACTCTGGTTTTATTTGGCCTATCAACACAATTTAAAAACTGGCTCGGGCCCGCCAGTGCCCCAACGGGGTCCTAGTTATTAGGGCCCGAGCGTAGCTGCTAAGCAGCTGCGAGAGCCCTATTATTCCCCAAGGGGTTTTTCTTTGTTTCTTTAGGGCCCGAGCGTAGCTGCTAAGCAGCTGCGAGAGCCCTCTTGTTCCTGCATGTTTCCTTCTTTTGTTATTAGGGCCCGAGCGTAGCTGCTAAGCAGCTGCGAGAGCCCTATTATTCCCCAAGTGGTTTTTCTTTGTTTCTTTCTTTCTTTCTTTCTTTCTTTCTTCTTTTTCCTCCCCTTTGAACTGGAAAATGGCCCACTTCCCACTGGCGAAAACTCATGAAATTTGGCAGGACGACCGGGCCTGGTGAAAAATTCGATATTCTGAAGTCGCCCAAACAATAAAATGCAAAATGGCTCCATAGCGCCCCCTAAGGTGGAAATTCACACTATTGACTGTCACGCCTGTACGCTTTGTCATATTGACACAAAAATTGACACACATATGTATCTCAATAAGATCTACAAAAAAGTCAGTGCGGCCGTATCTGTCAAATGTACGGTTAAAGGGTTATTTCGCATTTTTTTCCGATCCGCACACATTGGAATTTCGCTAACTCCTCCGAAGGCTTTCGTTCCACCGGCACCACATTTGCTCAGGCCAATCTACACCCCGTGGCCATTAAAAGTTATCAAAATCATGACGCTGCACCCCAAGGTTTAGGTTCTAGGGGGCGCCAAAGATAACACTAAAATCCACATATTTAAAAGTCTTATAACTTTTTATTTTTGTCCTCACTGGCCTCCAAGTTTTCTAGGATGATGCAATGTCCAGCCATCAACACATTTGTGAAGGAATTTTTACTCCCCAAAAGAGCGCCCCCCCATGGCAGGAGAAAAAAGTCCATTTTTTCTTGTCCCCTAAGGTGAAAATACACATTGTTGAGTGTCACGCCTATACGCTTTGTCAAAATGACACAAAAATTGACACACACATGTAACTCAATAAGATCTACGAAAAAGTCAATGCGCGCGTATCTGTCAAATGTACGGTTAAAGGGTTATTTCGCATTTTTTGCAGATTCGCACACATTGGAATTTCGCTAACTCCTCCGAAGGCTTTCGTTCCACCGGCACCACATTTGCTCAGGCCAATCTACACCCCATGGCCATTAAAAGTTATTCAAATCATGACGCTGCACCCCACGGTTTAGGTTCTAGGGGGCGCCAAAGATAACCCTAAAATCCACATATTTAAGTCTTATAACTTTTTATTTTTGTCCTCACTGGCCTCCATGTTTTCTAGGATGATGCAATGTCCAGCCATCAACACATTTGTGAAGGAGTTTTTTCTCGTTAAAAGAGCGCCCCCCATGGCAGGAGAATAAAGTCAAGTTTTTCCTGTTTATCATTCAATGGCTCAAACGCACTGCTCTCTCGGCAAAAGCGAAAGGAGGAGCAACTTGCCATTTGGATATATCTTAGCTGTGTTTGTGCCCTCACTCATGGTCCAGACTTTTTTCAAATAGGACATGGAGTTTTTCTGCAGCGAGCGTTTTGGTAGAAACTGCGCCTCCCGTTCATTATAATGGTAAATGACCACAAACAAGTGCGCACACCATCTTTGGACCTTGAGTGTGACGCGATCGGGTGGGGGAGGCGGTCGTGCTGGGGGCGGCGTGACACGGCTCGGGCCCGCCAGTGCCCCAACGGGGCCCTAGTTATTATTATTTTTCCTCCCCTTTGAACTGGAAAATGGCCCACTTCCCACTGGCGAAAACTCATGAAATTTGGCAGGACGACCGGGCCTGGTGAAAAATTTGATATTCCGAAGTCGCCCAAACAAGAAAATGCAAAATGGCTCCATAGCGCCCCCTAAGGTGAAAATTCACACTATTGACTGTCACGCCTGTACGCTTTGTCATATTGACACAAAAATTGACACACGTATGTATCTCAATAAGATCTACAAAAAAGTCAGTGCGGGCGTATCTGTCAAATGTACGGTTAAAGGGTTATTTCGCATTTTTTGCCGATCCGCACACATTGGAATTTCGCTAACTCCTCCGAAGGCTTTCGTTCCACCGGCACCACATTTGCTCAGGCCAATCTACACCCCATGGCCATTAAAAGTTATTCAAATCATGACGCTGCACCCCACGGTTTAGGTTCTAGGGGGCGCCAAAGATAACCGTAAAATCCACATATTTAAAAGTCTTATAACTTTTTATTTTTGCCCTCACTGGCCTCCAAGTTTTCTAGGATGATGCAATGTCCAGCCATCAACACATTTGTGAAGGAATTTTTACTCCCCAAAAGAGCGCCCCCCCATGGCAGGAGAAAAAAGTCCATTTTTTCTTGTCCCCTAAGGTGAAAATACACATTGTTGAGTGTAACACCTGTATGCTTTGGCAAAATGACACAAAAATTGACACACACATGTATCTCAATAAGATCTACGAAAAAGTCATAGCGCGCGTATCTGTCAAATGTACGGTTAAAGGGTTATTCCGCATTTTTTGCCGATCCGCACACATTGGAATTTCGCTAACTCCTCCGAAGGCTTTCGTTCCACCGGCACCACATTTGCTCTGGCCAATCTACACCCCATGGCCATTAAAAGTTATTCAAATCATGACGCTGCACCCCACGGTTTAGGTTCTAGGGGGCGCCAAAGATAACCGTAAAATCCACATATTTAAAAGTCTTATAACTTTTTATTTTTGTCCCCACTGGCCTCCAAGTTTTCTAGGATGATGCAATGTCCAGCCATCAACACATTTGTGAAGGAATTTTTACTCGCCAAAAGAGCGCCCCCCATGGCAGGAGAAAAAAGTCCATTTTTTCTTGTCCACTAAGGTGAAAATACACATTGTTGAGTGCTACGCCTGTATGTTTTGTCGTATTGACACAAAATTTTACATACACGTGTCTTTCAATAAGATCTTCAAAAAAGTCAATGGCCACGTATCTGTCAAATGTACGGTTAAAGGGTTATTTCGCATTTTTTGCAGATTCGCACACATTGGAATTTCGCTAACTCCTCCGAAGGCTTTCGTTCCACCGGCACCACATTTGCTCAGGCCAATCTACACCCCGTGGCCAGTAAAAGTTATCAAAATCATGACGCTGCACCCCAAGGTTTAGGTTCTAGGGGGCGCCAAAGATAACCCTAAAATCCACATATTTAAAAGTCTTATAACTTTTTATTTTTGTCCTCACTGGCCTCCAAGTTTTCTAGGATGATGCAATGTCCAGCCATCAACACATTTGTGAAGGAATTTTTACTCCCCAAAAGAGCGCCCCCCATGGCAGGAGAAAAAAGTCCATTTTTTCTTGTCCCATAAGGTGAAAAAACACATTGTTGACTGTCATACCTGTACGCTTTGTCATATTGACACAAAATTTGACAATCACATGTATCTCAATA